AGACTTTCTAATATGATCAGTTATAAAGTTCATAAAAAGCATTGGAAAGGGATTGCAGCTAGTAGAGGTGGCCCTATTATCACGCATTTATTCTTTGCTGACGACCTCATGTTGTTTGGTCAGGCTACCCTGCCTACTTGTAACACTATAATGACAGTTATGGAGTAGTTTTGTGGCATTTCTGGGCTGAAGATTAATCCCCACAAATCCAAACTCTATGTGTCTCCTAACCTTGATAGGAGGACTGCTCGAGATTTGAGCTCCTTATATGGGATCTCTCTAACCAGTGATCTAGGGAAATACTTAAGTGTTCCCCTAATTCATGGTAGAGTTACTAGCAGGCATTTTAATGCAATCATTGAGAAATTACAGAGAAGACTTGCTGGCTGGAAAACCAAAGTTCTATCTATGGCTGGCAGAGCAACTCTAATTAAATCTGTGAGTGCTGTCATTCCCTCATATACTATGCAAACTATGATTCTACCCAAGAAAGTTAGCAATGAGATTGATAAGCTGAACATGAATTTTCTATGGGGTCACACCTTGGAGAAGAAAAATGTTCATTTTGTTAATTGGAATACTGTGTTTAAAGTGAAAAAACATGGTGGTCTGGGTATTAAAAAAGCCAAAGACCAGAATACAACCTTGCTGTCAAAGCTAGGATGGAAGCTGGTTAGCAACCAAGAGGGGATGTGGTGTGAGATACTTAAGAACAAGTACTTAAAGCATACATCCCTTCAAGGTTGGAACAAAGGGAGGAAAACCTCTCATCTCTGGAGAGGGCTTCTTCGTACCAAGAATATTCTCAGGCAGGGGATGAAATGGAAAATTGGGGATGGTGAGAATGTTGATGTTTGGAGGGATTGGTGGTGTGGTGACAAGCCTCTTGAGGTCATTGTTACTAGCCACAATCTAAACATGCCTACTGAGTTAAGTGGGCTACATGTCCAAGCTTTGATGAGAGAGGATGGTAACTGGGATGAGACCTGGGTGAATGCTGTTTTCCCAACTCCTATCTCAGCCCTAGTCCTGGGCTAGCCTCCTCCCAACACAGCTGCTATGGACCTCCCTTTGTAGAAGGGTGCTCCTGATGGAGTCTTCTCTGTCTCATTTGTTTACAAGCTGTTGGTAAGGATAGATAAGATAGAGGAGCATTAGAATTGGTTATGGAAATTAAGGCTGCCCCTGAAATTAAAAGCATTTCTATGGACTGTGTGTCATGGGAAGTTATTAACCAATCAGATGAGGATGAAGAACGGTCTAACCACTGATCCCACTTGTTCTAATTGTAGTGGTCATGAGGATATTAACCATTTGTTCAGGGAATGTTACAAGGCTAAAGAAGTGTGGCTAAATTTTTTTTGGCAAAACCCGGTATATCAATTTGATGAGACAACCTTGGAAGGATTGGCTTAAAAGTAACTCATGCAATAAAAACATTTTTCTGGAGACATCTCTTGGTACACTATCTTCATTGTAACCCTTTGGAAAATTTGGAAAAATCGAAACCGTGTTATGTTTGAAAACAAAATTACCAGTTGCCAAGAGAATCTCAAATTCATTTCAGATTATTCTAGAGAAATCAACCAAGCATTTCTCAATTTAGTTATTATGCCTAAGCCAGCTTGTAGACTGATTCAATGGACTTTGCCACCTGCAGTTGATGGTTGCAGACGCACTGGAGGAGAAGGTGGCTTTGGTGGACTACTTAGGGATGAGCGAGGAGCTTGGTTGTGTGGATTTTATGGCAAGATACAGATGGGAACTAGCCTTGAAGATGAGCTGTGGGCCTTGTATAAGGGGCTGACTGTTATTCTTCAACAAGGTCTCAACAATGTCACCATCGAGACTGAAGCAACCCAGGTAGTGAAGTTGATGGAGGAACCAATTGCGAGCAATTGTCCGTTCAAGAACTTGGTGGAAGATGCAAAAATACTCTTCAGAGGCTGTGAGTGCACCATCCACCATATCTGGAAACAAGGGAATTTGTAAGATTGATAAATCTTTTAGACATTTATTTATCTTATCAAATTAATTTTTATTATGTACTTGGATAATGACCATATCATGAGTGGTTGTTAGGTTTTTAATGTGGAATCGATATATTTAATATATGAAATATTTTTAATTTTAAACTTTTTAATTTAATAATTAATTTAATAATGATATCAAAATTATTGTGATGAAGCAAGGAGAATAGCTCTATCTTCCCTATTGTGTAGTCTGTAGCTTCATTTCCTTAAAGTATCTATTTTAGTTGAGTAAGGAAGTCCTTATAGCTTTTAGTTTGTGAATGTTATATTTAACGTTTGGAAAAATAAAAATTAATTTAATGAAAATAAAAATAAAAATAATCATTTATTACATGATTATTATTTAAATACATAATAAAAATTAGTTTGGTAAAAAAAATTAAATAAATATCTAAAAAATATAACAATTTACATAATTTTATATTTAGTGGGTAGAAATAATTTTTAAAAATTCTAAAATATTTTTTTAACATTTATTTTTGTCAAATGAGTTTATATTTTATCAAATTGACGACTTTGCCCTTGAAATTGAGTAATGATATCTTCAATTGTCCTTATTTGGAATAAGATTTAAAATTCATAGTCAAATGCGTCACAATCGAAAAGTCATAGATGAAAGTGATACAAAGGCCCAAACTATAGAGCCCGTTAGTGCAATTCATCCTATATTTTTTTAAATCCTACATATGTCACAACATATTTCTATTCAAAATTTGAAAATAATGTTTTATATAGTTTCACTTTTTGAATATCTTTAATTACAAAAATAAAAAATAAGAATTACTCATTAATTTTAAATTATTAATTCTTTGATATATACGTAAATAACTCAACTAAAATTTATGAAACATTCGTTCTTTTTTGTTTTAAAACTCAAAAACTGCTTACTTTTCATATTTTTTAAATTTTTAGTGAACCTTTGTGTAATATTTTAATAATAATTTATTTATTTTTTTACTTTATAGATCCACGTAGGCCTCGTTTGGCAAGTTAATACTTTAGCCAAAAAGTCAAAAAATTACTAAAAAAGTCAAAAAGTCTATAACTTATACAAAAAAGTCAAAATTTTCATTTTCTCTCTACTTTTTGCACATCTTTTCGTAAAAAGTCAAAAAGTCACCTCAAACATACTAGTTTTTTTTACCTCATATTTTAGTCAAAAAGTTACTAAAATAGTCTATTTCCAAACGAGGCTTTAATCTATATATTTTTCGAAAATAAAATATTTGTAAAGAAATATAAAAAAAAAGTCATTAAATACGAAGAAATATAATAAATAAAAACAAAAAATACACAATTTTTTAAGGGTTTTTTTTTTTTAAGGTCCCTGGTATTAAGATTTTATAGCATAAATGACATCTAATATTTTCATATTGTCTAAGGTCCCTTAATTTGATCTAGAGAAATTTGATCCAGAGAAAATTTGTCCGGAGAAATTATGGACCAGAGAAAATTCAAATTTCTCTGGGTTCAGTTTGACCAATTTTCAAACCAGAGAAAATTGATAAATTCTGGACTTTTCCAACCCAGAGAAAATTGACTTCACCAATTTTACTCAGTTAAAGGCAGAGAAAATTAAACAAATTTCTCTAAGTTGTTTTATTGAAATTTCACTGAGTTGTCTCAGTAAATTTCACTGAGTGTACCAAACAAACAAACAGTATCAAAACATACATATGACTTCATCAATTTTACTCACTTAAAGGCAGAGAAAATTAAACAAATTTCTCTGAGTTTTTTTTATTGAAATTTCACTAAGTTGTCTCAATAAATTTCACTGAGTGTACCAAACAAACAAACAATATCAATAACAGAGAAAATTAAACAAATTTCTCTGAGTTTGTTTTTTTGAAATTTCACTGAGTTGTCTCAATAAATTTCATTGAGTGTATCAAACAAACAAAAACACAAACAAACAGTATAATATATATATATATATATACATACATATATGACTTCACCAATTTTACTTAGTTAAACTTCACCGAGTTTTAAATCAATTGAGAGAAAGAGAAAGATAAATTCCACAATGTTCCTTGTATGTCTCACTGTCTCCTCCGATCCGAGACTTGCATGCATAAGCCGGAGGATTTCGGGATAATAGTGTCGACAAGAAAGCTCTAGTCTTCATTTGATCTAGCACCACCGTCGATCTCTCTCTCTTTGTTGGCTGCCTGCAAATATATGTTTCTCTCTCTAGAAAAAACGAAAAAGACCAGTAGGGAATGAATGGCAACGCCGGAGAGTCGTTGAAGCAAAGGTAACCTTGGATCTGAGCGAATGGCGACGATCTCTTCATGGCGGACTTTGCGCTGAAGTGGCTACAGTCCGGGGCGTTGACGTTACGGTGGCCTTCGAGGATGGCGCGGAAGGAGCGAAGGAAGCTGAACTTGGACTTGAGCTGGATAAGCTTCCATGCTGCGCAAGATCTGTAGCCATGTTCTGGTAGTCTTGTCCAAACGATGCTTGCCATTGACTTTACCCATCTCTTCTGTCTAGGGTTTCAGAAAGAGAGATAGAGAGATATAGATTGGAAGTACCACTCTGCAGTAGAGGAGGGAAGATAGAGAGTCAAATTTCTCTAATATGATATATGGTGTGGGTTTAGGAACCTTAGACATCAAAAAATAATATTGTGGATCTCTTCCATTACTAAAAATAGGAGAGGGACCTTAGATTAATTTTTCCATTTTTTAATGTAATGTTTGCCAATTGACTTTTTTTAGCCAAAAGTCAAAAAATAAAAATTAAAAAACAAGTATTTATATTTTTTTACACATTTTTAGTAAAAAGTCAAAAAATTATTCTCAAACATTTTAATTTTTTTCACCTCATATATTAGTCAAAAATTTAAAAAACTATACTAAAAACTACTTTCCAAATCAACCCTAAATTGAGTGCATCTAAAAAATAAACAACAGAAAAAATAAAAATTCAAAAACAGTTTTAAAAAACTAACCAAACAGGTTGACCAACCCAATCTCCATAGAGAAACCAATCTGGATCTGGGTATTATGAAATCGGGGCGTACCGGATCTCCCAAACTCGCCTCATTTGATCCGGTTCAGATTCTCTCCGGTATTAACCCTAACCCTGAACCTTCCGGATCGTCCGATCGGACTCTGCGAACCACACACACAGAGAAATCGAAGAGCGTGAAATCCCTATGCAACTCTCTCAGGTTCGATTGTTTTTCTGATCATTTTTTCGTTGTCATTTCAAGCTATCTTTCGATGTCTTTACACGTAGTTTTTAGGTTTTTAATCTGTTCATTTATGTTGTTTTATCAATGTTATGTGTTTGAATTTGATGGGTTGGTTCGATTTATCGGTTGGAATGTTGAGATTTTGGTGATTTTAGAGTTGTGTCACTCGAATTTGTGATTTTTATTGTTACCTTAAATGGGAATTTAAAGTCTTCTAATCAAATGATAATTGTCTTAAAATCCCTTTTTTTTTTTGGAAATGGTTTGATTCGACCCATTTGCTTGATTTTTGTCTTCCATCAATGTAAATGTTCTAGATTTTTTTTTTTTTTTTTTTTGGCCCCCAAAATTTTTTTTTTTTTTTGATTAGGTTAAAGACCTTACTTTTTTTAATATTTATGATCAACTATGATTTGGCTGGTGAACTTGACCATGATAGTACATATTGAAGTATTCCTGTACAGATTCTATACTGTTAGGAGTTGGGTCGAACTGTTGGATATATAACACTCTGGACAAACTGGACCAAAATGCTGATACATTTGAAATTTAATATATGTATACAAAGTTTTCTAAGGCAAATGTGTAATGTGAGCCGTTTTACCCTTTGAGAGAGGCATAAGCATTTCGAATTTTAAATCATTATATTTAGTAAATAAATTATGTTTTAAAATAGTAAAGAAAAAGTTAAAATTAAATATGAAGGGGTAAATACTTATCTGCTCGGGGTGTTGAACATTTCATCACAGAGCTCTCATCAAAAATGAAATCAACATTCTTAGCATTAGTTATCGAGTTTCTCACTTGATCCTTAACTTTGTGTTTTTTCTTTATTGGTCATTTACTTGATTTTTTCCTATAGAATGCAGTTGCAAAATGGTTTTCTTTTTTTATGTTTAAACTATCTACCAGGCTAATTTTAATAAGAGCCCAAGACAAGCTCTTCATATGCGTACTTCTCATACGCTTCTGCGCAAAAGGCATATAATGTGCCCTTGAGGTGCACGCCTCAGACTATGATGCGCAAGCCTTTGGGGAGTGTTGCCTAAAAAGATGGCACTATGATTTCAGCTCTCTCTGTTAACATTTGTTCCTCCATTCTGTTTGTTTACTTGGATGCTGTATGCGAGAGCAGGTTGCATTCAATAGAAGATGTGTAAGCGTAGTATACGTAATTTGGCCCATCCTAATCTAACTACTTAAGCATTTTCAGTAGCTGGTTTCTCACAGTTTACTTGTGAGATTAGCAATTGAATCGAGGGAAGGATATTGATGGAATACTATATGCTAGTTAGTTTGGTAGTTTGCAGTTTGACACGGGAGGGGCCAAGGACCATGTGAAATGGAAGTTCTTGTCTTTCAAATCGAGTGGTCTTTGGGGTCCAGAAGCTCCAAGGGACCTAGCTCTGTGATCTTGTATCTTGCATGCCTTTCAAAGACAGGTTCACCTTGACTACTTCAGAAGTTGGATGGAGCTGGTCCACTTTTGGTTTTTTTCTGTACATTTATGGAATTATTGTCATCCTAATTTTTTTTCTTCTTCTAGATATATGGCAAGGCCCATAAACTTTTGGCTCGTTGCCTTAAATTGCAATTGTAAGTGTGCAAACATGCATGTATAGGGTATGAATCTTTTGGGTTCTCCAAAATTAGACTGATATACATTATTGTGTTCCTTCTGCATAGCTTTAGGTTTTCTCTTCTTCTATAGTTTGGAGAAGGAAGATCTTGAAATTTTTTATCTGAGCACAATTATAATCAGCCAAAATTGCACATTGATGTTTTCTTTAAGCAATTCTTCTGGTACAATATGAACACTTAATGGCCTTGAATCATGATTTAATTTCTAGCTGAGATTCAAAATATATTTTGTTTAACTATTTCTTTGGCTTGTGTTATTTTTGTTTGATGCCATTAAAATTCTCTTTGCGAGTTTATTCAGTTACTGGTATGTTATCTTTATTTTAAAGAAGAAATATTCTACTTACTTGATTTCATTTGGTTTGCAGGGTTTAATCAATATTGAATCCATGTGATGGAAATAGCTAATGACGTACCTGTTAAGAAACCAAAGAGGTTGACATCTATTGTATGGAATCACTTTGAGAGGGTTAAAAAGGCTGACGCTTGTTATGCTGTTTGTCTACATTGTAAGAAGAAACTTAGTGGATCGAGTAACAGTGGAACTACTCATCTGAGAAATCATTTGATACGCTGTCTGAAGAGATCCAATTATGATGTTTCTCAAATACTTGCAGCAAAGAGAAGGAAAAAAGATACTACCCTTGGTGTTACTAGTGTTGACTATGAGGCAGTGGAAAGAAATGATGGAATTATTACTCCCTTAAATATTAAGTTTGAACAAGAGCCAAAGAAAGATGAAACCATCAACCTTGGAACCGCCAACCTTGGAAGTGTTAAGTTTGATCAAGAGAGGAGTCGGCTGGATCTTGCCCGTATGATCATGTTACACGGTTATCCGTTGGCTATGGTTGAGCATGTTGGATTCAAAATATTTGTCAAGAATCTCCAACCCTTGTTTGAGATTATGACTAATAGTGCAATCGAGTTTGACTGTATGACAATTTATGGGAAAGAGAAACATAAAGTGTATCAGATGATTCACGCTTTGCCTGGCAGAATTAGCATTGCTGTTGATATGTGGACTTCACCTGAAAATGCAAGTTACTTGCGATTGACAGCCAACTATGTTGATGAGGACTGGAGGCTACAGAAGAAGATGTTGAATTTCATTACATTGGATGTTTCTCATACTGATGACATACTTTCAGAAGTTATTATTAAATGTGTGATGGATTGGGATGTTGATAGGATGTTGTTTGCCATGACATTTGATGATTATTTCAGCAATGATGACATTGTCTTCAAAATCAAAGACTGGCTCTCTCAAAACAAGCCTCTTTTGAAGAACGGTCAATTGTTTGACATGCGCTGTGCAACTCTCATTCTAAAATCTATTGCTTCGGATGCCATGAAAGCACTTCAAGATGTGACCCACAAAATTCGACAATATATTAGGTATGTTAATAGTACACAAGCAATTCGAGGAAAGTTCAATGAGGTTGCTCAGCAAGTTGGCACCAATAGTCAGACGCGCTTATTTGTTGACTGTCCACTGCGATGGAATTCAACATATCTCATGCTTGAAACAGCCTTGGAATACAGGGGTGCCTTTTCTGTTCTTCAAGAACATGATACTGGCTGCACAGTGGCTATGTCAGAGAGAGAGTGGGAATGGGCAAGTTCTGTTACTGGCTCTCTGAAGCTTTTTGTTGAAGTCATCGATGTCTTCTCAGGCAACAAATATCCAACTGCAAATATATACTTTCCCGAGATTTGTGATGTTCACGTTCAATTGATTGAATGGTGCAAGAGCCCAGATGATTTTATTAGTTCTATGGCATTGAAGATGAAAACCAAGTTCGATAGGTATTGGAGCAAATGCAGTTTGGCTTTAGCAATAGCGGCTATATTAGATCCCCGATTCAAAATGAAGTTGATAGAGTATTACTATCCCCAAATTTTTGGCAGTGATGCCCCAAATCACATCAAGGAGGTTTCTGATGGTATGAGGGAACTTTTTATTGAGTACTCTATGTGCTCAACTTCACTTAATCAAGATTCAGCCAGGCCAGGTAGCAACTTACCTAGTACTAGTAATGGTACTAGGGATAGTCTAAGGGGCTTTGACAAGTTCCTCCATGAAAGTTCACAAGGTCAAAGCACAATATCAGACTTAGATAAATATCTAGAGGAACCAGTCTTTCCTCGTAATTATGATTTCAATATATTAAATTGGTGGAAAGTGCACACGCCAAGGTACCCCATCCTATCAATGATGGCACGCGATGTTTTGGGAATACCTCTGTCAACTCTTAGACCAGAGTTGGCGTTCAGCACTCAAGGGAGAGTACTGGAAAATCATTGGAGTTCACTAAATCCAGATATCCGAGAAGCTTTGATGTGTGGGCAAGATTGGTTGCAGATGGAATCAGAAGGTATGTGTGTTTTCTAACTTCTTTCTATTTTGGGGCTATTTTGGAATCTCAAGAGGTGGTTCAGGTTGGGTCTCACTTCATTTTAAGTTTTTGGATCTGGAAAACCAAAATTGAGTTGGTTTGGGAAATGAAGAAATCTAGGAACACAAATCAATCATAGTACCACACATAACCCTCATGTTCCACCTTTTGTGGATCCCACGTTTATGTGAGAGGGTCCGGTTCTGTGATTAATTTTTGTGCAAGTGGAAGAACAGATGGGAAATTAGACTGGAGGAGCCTTTTCTGCCTTAATTTTTTTCACAATTGTATAAAATCTACTAATAAATGATTTTGCCAAACTAAGCATAATATTTGGTGACCGACCCCATCCTCATTCTCATCCAACCTCGATCTTGGGTTTCCAGATTGCCTGTTACTTTTTATGTTGCCTCTGATCTATAATTTAGCGCTTACATAAGTTTTATTTTTCTTGTATCAGAATCCAACCAATCCTCTATCCTTTCAGCTTTGCCCCTTCTCATTGAAACAAATTAATGTGTCCATGGTATGATTCTCTTACACTGTGTTTGGTTGGAAGATTTGGGAAGAAATTTAAAAATGGAAAGAGAAAAGGTGTGTGAAACTAGGTAAAATATAGCTTATTTTATTTACATTTCACATATTTTTTCCTTTTCTCTTTCTAAATCGCTTCCCAAATCCCCCAACCAAACACAACATTAGTTTTGCCTTTTCTGTATCTTCCCAGAATGTCTCATTCACTTTTAGTGATTCATAGTTTTGCTGATCTTGTCAATTTCTTTCCCTTATTGTCTTCTCATGCAAGGTTGATGATCAGATTGTGTGATGGTGTCTGATTCTTTTCAGTTTGGGCCTGATTTCGATCCTGGTGTGGAGCTGTTATATGACCTCCGTGCTGCTTGTCCATATTTTACACACAGGCTAGATGGATAATTGCTTATATTATTATTATGATTTTTGGTAATCTTTTTATGTAAAATGTACATTTTTGAACTGAATAAATGCTCACTCTGATGCTTAAACTAATGTTGTGTTTGGTTGAGGGATTTGAGGAGGGATTTGGAAAGGGAAATGGAAAAGGTAGGTGAAATATGAATAAAACATGCCTAAATTTCTTATATTATTATTATGATTTTTGGTAATCTTTTTATGTAAAATGTACATTTTTGAACTGAATAAATGCTCACTCTGATGCTTAAACTAAAGGATGCCTCCATTTCACCATTCGGATGGCCCCCCTGTTTGTAAGTTTGATTGTAGGTTTCTGAATCACTATGAAATAGAATTTAGTGTTTTTTTTCCTTCCCCTTTATTTTTTCATTTCTCAAGCTTTTAACTTGAAGATCTAAATATTTTGCTAGCATGATAGGATGGATTCAGAAGATGAGTATTTGGAACTACTGACTTCTTGTTGCTGGATTGAATTGATTTCCATCTGTCAATATTCGGTGTGTTTGAAGCTCTGGTGACTTCTTGCTTGTACTTTGACCTGTTTGGTACAACTTAAATGAATTGCTTATTAGTTTTACTATTATTATTATTTATTATGAGAGTTTGTATTAGACTGTTTAATATAATTTATGTTTACAAGCTGAAAATGTTGATTATTTGAAAGTTAGTGGAGGGGGATTTTTGATTTCTGTTTTTTTATTATCAGTTTTTAATTTACAATAAGGTGATGAGGATTTTGAAACCCTACCTTGTTAGCACCAGATCCTCATGGAAAGAGGATTGAGTAAACAAATTTCCATTTTCTAAATATAAGTTTTGAATTTGAGTAATCAATCTGTTGCGTTCTTCAATAGTTGATGTTGGATCTGCGTAAAGCTTTTCCCAATACTTGATGAGTTCAACAAGATTTTCATATTCTTTATTTTTTTATATAAGAAGAAATTGATTTTTCAATGACGTTTATTTCATCATTTTCATAAAACAGACGAGGTATTGAGGTATCCTCAGGAGGATCCCAACCTTCGCTATGTTCAGTTAGAAAATCTGTTTTTGTTATTAGATTTTTCATTTTTTTTTTCATTTAAATCTATATTAATTATATTACCAAGATTTATAACATCTTGTTCCACATTTACTAAAGTCTGATGCAAATTTCTTATCTATATACATATGATTATGTTTTTGTATTTTTTTCTATATTTTCAAACAAGGAAGAAAATAAATCAAACATACCATTAATAGTAGAGGTTATAGCAAGTAGATTAATACTATTTTTTTTTTTTTTAATCAATGTGCATACTATGATGAAATTCATATTCTACCATTCCTATTTGCATAGCTATACATCTAATATTTTTTTGAGTATCTTTTGCCATATTAGACTATCAATGGTACTTAAAATCTTCTTGTTTTTCTTTAGGTGCCTAAAATTGTGTCTCTAATGCTATGTTTGGTTGAGAGATTTGGGGAGAGATATAGAAAGAAAAAAGGAAAATGTGTGTGAAATTAGGTAAAATGTAAATATATTTTATTCACATTTCACCAAATTTTTCCCTTTCCCTTTTCAAATCTCTCTTCAAATTCTCCTACCAAACACAGCGTAAATGACTAACACCCTAAGTTTTTCTTTAGGTGCCTAAAATTGTGTCTATGTTTGGTTGAGAGATTTGGGGAGAGATATAGAAAGAAAAAAGGAAAAGGTGTGTGAAATTAGGTAAAATGTAAATATATTTTATTCACATTTCACCAAATTTTTCCCTTTCCCTTTTCAAATCTCTCTTCAAATTCTCCTACCAAACACAGCGTAAATGACTAACACCCTAAGAGCCTTCAATTGGCGATTTTGGGTATCAAGTTTGCCCTGGCCAATTGTTCTTCGAAAAAGATAATTTATTCACTGATATAATCCCCTAATCGAAGGGTTTCTGATTCCTCAGGATTTTCTGTAATTGTATTCATCGTAAAGATGTATTCTTCATCTTTACTTGATGGATATTCTTCACTTGAAATTTCATAAAGTATTTCTTTTGTATCCAAAATTTCTTCACCAAAACAAATTTTAAAGTCTTGTTCTTCAAGAACTTTTATCATTTTTTTAGCACTCGTTCCTTTTTTAGGGCACTAAGGTGCATAATATCCTTCTTCATGACAAATATAATATTTACAAGATTTTTTTCTTGTTAGATGTTTTTGAAGAAGTAGTTTTTCTTTTTTTTAACATATTTTTTATATTTAGATTTTTTTTTTCTTTTTCTAAGGTTTCCACTTAAATTTCTTTTTCTTAATTTTACTCTTTCTTTTATAAGGTGTGCAACTAATTTTCCAATTTTCTTGCTTTTGTGGAATTGATGATTTGATTTTTCACCTATTTCTTTGCTTATACCGTTAAGCACTGATTTGCTATTAGTCTCAAGACAAAATTTATCTAAATCTAAGATTATCACTTTTTCCTAATTTCTCTAAAAATTAAGGATATTTTTTAAAACTTAATTCATCCCATGGGTTTAGGAGTTTATGAAAAAACTGGTCTAACTAGTAGGCATTTTGTAGAGGATCTAGAACATACTAATATTTTTTGAATAATGTCACATACTCTTTAAATTGACAAATATTACATAGTTATAGTTTGGATAGAGCATAATTTGCATCTTCTTACAAATTAATTTCTCCTGAATAACAACATGTATTTTCTTTAACTATGGTGACAAAATCACTCAACATCTCATCAAAACTTAAAAAGTTTGATAAAAGAGCTGTTTTCTGATTTTTTTCCATAATCAAAATTTTCTCATTGTCTTAGCCATTGCAAGCAATTTCCTTGTAAAGTTGCTGGAATATAATCTAAGAATCTTTCTATTGTCCATGTTGACTCATAATTTGTTATTAAAATAGACATGGATTGTGCTCAATTATCAATTGTTTTTAATTGATCTTTGAAAGCAACATGTGTTAAATTCAGATAGGTACCATGTTGGGTTACTGGATTTTTGTTTAAATCATATTTTCTTTGGTAAGATGGTTTAGGATCAATAGGTTTAATTTCATTAGTGGATGTGTCTGGTACCGTTTGTTCAATAGTTTTTATGAACTCGTGAAATTCTGGTTTTGCTTCAAATTCTTCTAGATTTAATGGTTCATCTATTTTTCTTTTACCTTTACCTGTGGTTGCAGATTTGGTTTCTTCATCAGAAATTTCTGAGTCTGAAGTTTTAGATTCTCAAGTTTGTTCTTCTTTAATCACCATGCTGGTTGCGTTGATGAAATGAAAAGAGGAGTTTCATCAAATTCATCATCTATAGAAACTTGATACCCATAATGGAAATTCAAACCGAGGGAAGAGGACTGTAGGTGTAGTACATGTATGGAATAGAAAGTCATTGTTATTATTATTTTTTAGACTTTTTGTATTCCATTGTTTTTATTATTTTAGACTTTTTTTTTTTTTTCTAGCTTCATTGACTTTTGAAAAAGCAATGAAGCCTACGGCTAGACTTGAAGACTTTTAGCTTTTAGAGTTTTGTTTGTATCTACAAGTTATATTTTATAAATTGGCCTACAGTCAACATAATGAATCATTATAAATTCTCATAAACTCTCTCATCTTTTACTTACATCTCATAGGCCAATTTATAGAATACAACTTGTAGATACAAACAAAAGTCTAAAAACCAAAAGTCTTCAAGTCTAACTGTAGGCTTCACTGCTTTTTCAAAAGTCTATGAAGCTAGAATACAAAATTGGAATATCATTAGTTATTCTCTAGTCAATTTCTTCAGAGACCTTTCAATCATTATCTTCATAGAACCATTCTTGGGTATCTAAAAATAATGTGGTTTTGTAATATCATCTCGTAAATTAATCTTATTAATTGATTTGGAAAGAATTTGTTTAATTCTTTCACAATGGTCTTCTACTTTATCTTTAATGAGTCTAAAAATTTCACAGGGAAAAATTGTTCTTGCTTTTTCAAAAAGACAAATTCTTCTAATTGTTTCAAAAGAAGGATCTGAATATTCATGGTTTATAAATTCAGAAATTTGAAGAAAAGTATTTATTTTTTCAAATTTAAAATCTTGATCCCAAATCATTTGTTTAATGAGTTGTAAACAAAGTTTTTGTAACTCATTCATTTTAGTGGTTTGTTCCACTAATTGAAATGATAAGTTAGACATATGTAATCTAAAACCTTTTTTGTTTTCAGAAATGTGGGTTTTCCACACACTATTTTATTCATTATAAATTTTTCTGGGAATACCATGATTAAAAACGTCTTCAATTTCAAATTCATTTGGTTTAGATTTCTAAAATTCAAAAGGGACTAGATTGGTTTGCTACTGCTGAAAAATAGGCAATGATGGAGCACTATAGAAAGTCTTTTTAGCTTTTGCCATATTGTTATACACTTGATAGCAAGCTCTAGGGAATCCCACAACTTGCATATTGCAATCTTTTCAATTTGTGTAAATTCCAGGTTGTCTACCTTACAAAACAACATAAACTTTTTCTGTTTTGAGAATTGCTTTTTTGGCAAGGGTTTGGTTATGGTGTGCAACTTACACCTTACACCTTATACCTTACACTTACACCTTACACTTACACCTTTTGTAAAAAATTAAACCTTACACTTACACCTTTTTTGAAGTTGCACACCATGTGCAACCCACTTACACCTTACACCTTACACTTACACCTTACACTTACACCTTATACTTATACTTACACCTTACACTTACACTTTTTGTGTAAGTGGCACATGGTGTGCACTTGCACACTTAAGAAAACTCCTTTTGGCAATTGTCACCCATTCTTTATCAGACTCAGGGGGCTATTTACCCTTGTTCATGACTGAAAAGAGAAAACACTGGTTTAGTGATTTCTGCTTAAAAAATCTGCAAGAAAATTATTAGTTCATTTCAAATGTTCAACTTCAAAAGTATATGTAGCAATTTCATTATACCATCGAGCGGCTTTTTTCAATATTTTTCTTGTTAACTAAAAATTATTTTACTGCTTGATTGTTTGTTTTAACAATAAAGCATTCAGGAGCAACATATATGCTAAATCTTTTTAAAGCACGTTTTATGGCTAAAAGTTCTTTTCCAAAAATAATATATCTTATTTCAACAAGTTTAAATTTTTCTGAATTATATCCACAAATT